GTGTGTGTGTGTGTGTGTGTGTGTGTGAGTGTGTGTGTGTGTGTGTGTGTGAGAGACTGTGTGAGTGTGTGTGTGTGTGTGAGTGTAAGAGTGTTTGAGTGTGTGTGTCTGTGTGTGTGCGTGTGTATGGCTCATTGATCAGCGAGTGACGACAGCACAGTTCATTTACAGGTGGTGTGTGTGTGTATATGCTTCTGGTACATATACATCTGTTGGCATGTATGCATAAAGGGTCATCTCATTCTAGACACACAGTTCCCTTAAAAAGCATTGGTATACAATATTTTTCCTATTTACAATCATTGGAAAGAGAAAAAAAATCACCATTTCTCGCAGAGAAGATTAGTAAAAAGTGACGAAGTCACCATAAAAGAGTAAGCAACTCCTAGGAGTTAGTCTTTCAAATTTCCACTAAATTTCTAGTTTTTATACAGGCACGAAGCCTTGATTTACTGAAGAGATACAGTATTACTTTAAGTGCCCTATCTACAACAGTTAAGCGTGGTTTTACTAGTGTGTACCGTACAACACAATCTCCTGTTTTTAAGTCTGTTGTAGCTTCTCTCGCATAAAAAGATATGGTAACTAAAGTACGAAATCAAAATGTCCAGAGTCTTGCCGTTGGTAAGGACAGTTAACATCCCAAGACTAGTGTTGAATTATATAGGTATCGTGTTTAAGGTAAATAAAAGTGAAACAGTCAGTGATCAGTAGTGAAACACTTAAACGGGTGAGGCACGGGTCACGCTCGCCTTCTCTTAAAGGGATTGGTTGAGATCTTGTTGGCGTCGCAGGTCTTCATATTAGTTGACTGCAGTGAAGCTGCGAGCAGAAGATGCTCCGCTCTGTTGACTTCATTCAGTCTTCATTTACTCAGCCTCACATTGCAGCAAGTGCATTATTAGTGCAAGAAACGCTTTAGTTTGGGGTGAGAGTCTGCACGTAGGGTTGGGCGATTTTTCCGTTTTATTGATTCATTTGAATGTAATGTTTCTCCGGGTTTGAATAAAAATATTAGCAAATGTACAATTAGACACGCTGACAATCCGCCAGTGCTAACAGCTGATAAAGCGCGTGACGCGCTCTTTGAAGGAGTGTAACATATTGCAAATATTCACACAGAATTTGTTTCTGCGCTGAAAACACGAGGCGCTGCAGTGGAACAGGAAAAACACAAGGTTAAGAGACGCGAGTTGAGCTGCTTTTAACTCGAGCACCACATTCTTAGAATGCCATTTCATGTGCGTAATGCTGCAAAAGACGCGAGCCCAATGGTCAAAGCGCAGGTTTACATATAAAAACACTGGAAAAGCAGAAACCTGTGCAGAACTACTGCTGTATGTCTGATATTTGATTTTTGCAAGTTGCTGACAGACTGAAAGCTATAATCGCATACTAATGCTGTTATACTTTGAGTCATTTTGATTTGAATCGCCTTGACTTTTTGAGTTGACTTCTAAAACGTGTGGTACACTTGAAAAAGAGCTTTCTTTAAATGCATGGTTTTGCAAGTTTGTAAGAAAGTGAATGTTACTTGAATCATGTAGTTACGTTTTTAAGTTGACTAATTAAAATCGACATTGCTATCAAGATTGATCTTTTTGCTGTATCGCCCAGCCCTACGTTCAAGAGCTATGGACAAGATCAGGCGGAGTAGATGACGACAGAATGCAGCGCCTGCTTCAGAGCGGCGTGTCGTAGCAGTCCGCAGGTCGCTCGCTCTTGTCCTGCTGATGTTGTTTCATGATCTCCTTCACCTCCTCCTCCAGCTCCGGAGGGATGATGAACTGGTCGTCGGGGTCGGGTTGAGAAGGCGCCGTGAAGTAACCCCCAGGTTTCTTTGAAGGAGCTTCAGCCGCCACCTCAATCAGGTTGTGGCTCTGCTCCTGCGGCGCCACCGAGCCGTTTCCCCTCCGCTTCCCCAAGGTCTTGCTCCAAGCGTCAGCTCCTGCGAGATTCCCGGCCTCCTCCGGAAGCTTCTCCGGGGTGCAGGGTGGAGGAGGTGGAGGCAGCAGACAGTGGACATCGGCTTCCACCTCCACCCGACTGCCGTTGGAGAAGACACCGGCGATGGGCTCCTCGTCCTCGCTGTCCAAGCCGTTGTCTGAGAGCGCGCTGGAGAAAGTGGCGCTGGAAAGCTGCCTCTGGAAGGAGCTTCCGGAGTTGGGAGCGAGGTGGAGCGTGCAGCAGGGGAGGCGCGGGTTCAGCTGCAGCTGCGGCGGATGAAGGTGGAGCTGCGCCTCCTGCAGCAGGAGCTGCGGCTCGTCTGAGGACGCGGTGGATCCCACTTCGGAGCTCATCTCGGAAGCACTGACCTCGGAGCTGATCTCGCTGCAGGAGGCCGGGTACAGGCTGGGGCTCGGCGGGGGCTGCGGCGGTGCATGCATGCTTCCAGAGCCGGGCTCAGCGGACGCCGCGCAGCAGCAACAACAACAGTCTTCAGCCACATTGAGCTGCACCACCACGGCGCTGAGGCTATCGGTGCAGCCGTATGATTGCGCCAGCGTGCACAGCTTCTTAGCGGCCGCCAGCGCGTCGGGAACCTTCCGTACGGCTTCCACCGCCTCGCTGGGGTCCAAGACTTCAAACAGACCTCTGCTGCCCAGGATGAAGAACTCGTCTCTGGGGGTCAGCGGGAGCGTGGTGACGTACGGACACGGTAAGACTGCTGGGTAGAGGAACGAATAGCCCATGATGCGTGTGGAGTCTGTTACGCCGTTCACTTTGTTGTCCTGTTGGAGAAGGGGAAATCGCCACAGTGGCGTACACAGTGCTCAGTGTAGTTATTCTAATAATAATAAAGCAATAAGCCCTGTGAAGCTGTGGTTTACAGTGAATTTATAACAGCTAAGGGGCGTTGTTAGGTACGACGCCCCTTAGCTGTTATAAATTCACTGTAAACCACGGCTTCACGGGGCTTATTGCTTTTATAAAACGGTTATTCCATATACGTAGTAAGGTTTCACAGAATAAAACAGAGCAAATAAAGTGTAATGATATTAATAAAAACAGTATTCTTCCACCAAACAATGTAGCTCCTCAGAAACAGTTGTGGTTGCAACAAAGTGGTTGCCGAGCAACACACAAACGTAAACAAAGGTGTATGTTACTTTGTAGAGTCATTAACAACAGCTTCGAACGCGGCTCAGCCAATCAGAATCAAGGACCGGAACTCTCCGTTTTATAATTGTTATTCTAATACAACAACAACATTCAAAGACTAGGTTGATGTGAGTTAAAGGGACGGTTCAGCCTCAAACCTGCATGACTTCTGTGAAAGAAGATATGTAAAGAATCGTTCAGCTGTAAACAAACAGTCACCGAGGTCAAACAGTGTCAAACTCCAAGAAGAACATACTGCGCTAAAAAAAAAATCAGTCTAGGATTTTTTTGTAAATTTCTCGATTACAAGGAAACGGCAAGTTACACGGTGAATTAAACAAGAAATTTTCAAGCACAAAAACTGAAATAGTATTTTCTTGTAGAACCTACCCCAATAATCTTTGTTTTATTTACAACAAATCTTTTTTTATAGTGTATAAAAGTGGTTTTGCTTCAGGTCTTGGTTTGAAGTCGAAATTTGAGTTGTTGTTTATTATTATTCACTTGTTTGAGACGCTTGAGAGTGAATAACTTAAATTTCACTCTGTTCAGTGTACAAAGTGATCATGTTACTTCAGAAGACTCGTTTATGTCCTTTTAGGAGCCTGAAACTGTTGGACCCCGTTAACTACTGAGCTGAAAGATTCTTCGATTATCTTTTGTTTCTCATGAATTAAAATTTTTTTGGTGAACTAACCCTTTAACTTCTATAAAAGATAGGGAATAGATAAGCAGAATCCACCTGAAAGTCAACATGAAATGCCATTTTAATTCCTTAATGTGACTCTCTTCTTTTCTTCTTGTGATGATGTAAACTGGACGTTTTATATCAGAATATCTGAATGCGAGCCTCCACGTACTCCAATGCTAATGTTGTTTTCCAATCTAGTGTTGTACAACCAGCATTCGTTTACTGCATTAGCTACTGGTGAAAATCCAGAAAGGCAGCCTCAAACAGTGACTAAAGTGCTGTCAGTTAAGATTAACTAATAGTTAAAGGGATAGTTCTGATAATGACCCCATGATTTACTCACCCTCAAGCCATCCTAGGTGTGCATGACTTTCTTCTTTCAGACGAATCCAATCGGAGTTACATTAAAAAACGTCCTGGCTCTTCCGAACTTTATAATGGCAGTGAATGGGTGTTATTTTTCAACAGTCCAAAAGAAGTCCAATAAAGTGCATCCATCCGTAATAAAAAAAAGTGTCCCACACGGCTCCGGGCGGTGAATAAATGCCTCCTGTAGCGAAAAATACATATTTAAAACTTTATAAACAGTAATCCGCTAACTGTCGTACACGCGTTCGTACACAAGAGGAGACTGGTTTTCCTTTGCTCCTGTAAACAAACATCGTTCCTCGCGAGACTAGCATATTCTCAACAGAGCTTACGCTACGACTAGGTCATCCACAGTCAGCGGAAGCTAGAGATTACGCTTTATAAAGTTTTAAATATGGATATGTTTATTACACAAATGCATTGATTCACTGCAGGAGGCCTTTATTCACCCCCGGAGCCGTGTGAGGCACTTTTTACTGCGGATGGATGTGCTTTATTGGACTTCTTTTGGACTGTTGAAAAATAACACCCATTCACTGCCATTATAAAGCTTGGAAGAGCCAGGATATTTTTTAATATAACTCCGATTGGATTCGTCTGATAGAAGAAAGTCATATACAGCTAGGATGGCTTGAGGGTGAGTAAATCATGGGGTCATTTTTATTTTTGGGTGAACTATCCCTTTAAAGTAATTACATTTTGATTCAATTTTTTATTGTTACAATTGTTCTTTTTTAATAACGTGCACAGATGAATAAGTCAATCTCATGTTGACCTCAGTGCCGGTGGAGAGCGTTGCTGGTACCTCAGTGATGATGGCTTTATGCTGCTGCACGCGGTTGTGTTCCTCCTTGATGCTGATGTTGTGCAGCAGTGACAGCGGAAGCGCCTTGCCGTCGCGGCACAGCACCGCCTGACACTTGCCCACATTAGCAGCGGTGAGGGTGAAGCAGCCGGTGGGGTCAGTGGGGTCGTGCCGGATGTGACAGAGCGCCGCAGAACCGCCCAGCTTCTGCCCTGCTGTGCCCAACTTCCTGTTCAACCCAGAGCGAACGGACAGACGCATTTATTACGGCCGTCAAGTGATTAACATTTTTTATCAAATTAATTACATGTGCCAATTAACCGAAGTAAACGCAATTAACCGCATATCAAATTTGGCTGAGAAATTAATCCATTATTGTGTTAGATGAGAAAAGCATTGAGTAGACATTATTACAAAATAATAGCTTTAGAAAGAAATATTTTGATCCAACATTGCATAGATAATAAATAGGATTTTTAAAAAGTGAATATTGAAATGATACTTTAAATATGAAACTAAAGCGCCAGTAGGTGGCGGCGAGTCACTGTCTTAATGAGCGAGTCATTGAATCATTCGTTTAAACAGCTGATTCATTCAGAAATGAAGCAAGCCACACTGAATCATTGACTCACTTGGCTTTGTTTGGAACTGTTTGTTTGCAAAATTGAAACAAAATTTGACAATATAGTGTTTAATACAAATTTAATACAATATTAACTTCTAGTTTATTGAACTGTTGTATAAATCAATATGACATCTGCAGTGGTGCTGGTGTGATATTGCTAAACTATATCATATGATAGAAATATACACTACCAGTCGAAAGTTTTTAATGTTTTTTAAAGAAGTCTCTTCTGTTCAACAAGCCTGCATTTATTTGATCAGAAATACAGCAAAAGCAGTAATATTGTGAAATATTTTTACTATTTAAAAAAACAGCTTTCTATGTAAATATCTGTTAAACTGTAATGTATTTCTGTGATGCGCAGCTGTATTTTCAGCATCATTACTCCAGTCTTCAGTGTCACATGTTGTACATTTTTTTCAGGATTCTTAGAAAGATCCAAAGATCAGCATTTATCTGAAATAAAAGCTTTTGTAACATTATACACTCTACCATTCAAAAGCTTGTCAGTCAGTATCTTTTTTTGGGGGGGGGAAAGAAATGATAGAAATTAATACTTTTATTTAGCAAGGATGCTTTAAATTGATCAAAAGTGATGATAAAGACATCTATAATGTTACAAAAGATTTCTATTTCAGATAAATGCTGTTCTTCAGAACTTTCTATTCATCAATCAAACCTGAAAAA